TTCATTTACATTCATTTGCCTCAAATTTTTTTCATCAACAGAATTCCGTAAAATAATGTTTGTAATTTTTGAAGAGTTTAATATTACCTAAAACTTTTGTCCATAAATGAAATCTATACCTCTTATGCATGACGAACTAGACCGGGCAGAACTTGTTATTATTTTTCAGTGAATGTAATTTACATTCACCGAAAATCAATGGTGGGTTATGTTTGCTCTTGTTCATCATGCATAAGAGATACAGATTTGATTCTTTTGCAAATGTTGTAGCTAATATCAAAACATACAAAAGCTTCATGCATCATTTTACGGAATTCTGTTGATGAAAAAAGTTAGAGGCAAATGAATGTAAATGATTGCACGAAATGAATGTAAATGATTTACCATGCCTGGATGCCTTAACGAGTATCTACGATCTTTCACAAATGTTCACCAATCCGATTGGGATGGATGGATTCAATTTTATTCTTTTACCTTCAATACCTCACACCGAACACAACTTTACCCCATACGAACTGATATACGGACGTAAGACAATTTTACCACACGATTTGGAAATAAATAGACCAAATGTAGAACCTATATATAACCTGGATGAATATTACAATGAACTACGATTTAGATTGCAAAATACCAACCAATTAGCACGTCAAAACCTAATTAAGAAAAAAGCAGAAAGACAAACAATCACTAACAAACAAATTAACCCCATTAATGTAAATATAGGAGACCTTGTTTACATAACTAACGAAAATAGAAGAAAACTTGACCCATTTTATATAGGACCATTCAAAATCATAAATATACAAAATCCGAATTGCATTATTCAGCACATTTTAACACAAAAACAGAGTACCATTCACAAAAACAGGTTAATCAAGGCATAAGAGTAGGAAGTAAACGTTATAATCCATCAAAAATATTTGTAAAGGAACCTTACTAGTCACAATTTAAAACTTTTCCGAATTACAAACAAATTGTTGAAAAAAATAATCGAATGATTTCACTTTGTTACATCATTCTTCCAAACGGGGAAGGTGTAGCATACTATAAATCATCCAAATTGAATCCGACCTACAATCTCAAATTTCATGACGAAGACATTTTCGAGACCTACAAAGTCGAGCCACTTATAAACCAAACAAAAGTGCCATCCGCACTTGTTGTTCCACAGATATATAAACAGTCAAATTATTGCAACAACATGTTTTCCTTTTGCGCTATGACCCAGAATGCGCGCACAGAATAATAAGCGCAGCGACAATGACAGCGACCCGGAAAACAACAGACCCAAATTCTTTCCTCATATCTTTTCGGCAACCTTCGTCTATGTACTCGGGCGAATGGAATCGCGTAACTGGTCACCATCACCTACGACGAAGTCACGTGATTGGTTGATTATGTTTGGAGACTAGTAAAGGTTACCTCCTACCGATTAAGTACGAAATGTAGAGTTAAGTTTCTTAGACTTAAGTGGTGCAAATAAAAATCAGTCAAAACTCATTACTCGAACCGGCAACATGCCCTTACTCCAAAAATATCACGAGCCATAGAAATTCAACGTTACAAGGAGAAGGAGGTTTGAAATATGATTTATTATACAAATATTTAATTGATCCTAAAACATGAACTTATTTCTATTCATCTTGAAAACAAACATTAAAAAAAAACTACACGCACAATACACAAACTAAACACAAGGTTAATCAAACTTACAATCTAAGGTTAGTATTCTTAAAGTAAACATATATGAGTTTCATAAACTCCAGATCACGTCTAGCCAAAATATCCCGAACTGGAACATTAGGTTGTCTACCTCGAGCCCGAAGGGAATCGCACAGCTCAGATCTGACTCCACGATGCTCAGCACAAGACCAAAGGATGTGATCGGCGTCTTGGTAACCTTGTCCACATTCACAGAGATTGCTGTCTCCCAGAAATTAAAGACGTAGACCTACATCAAAAAGAACCGCATGTTCAAAGCTGTATCTGAGATGATTTAAAGCTTCTTTGCTGAAGAAGTAGGGGAAATGACGGCTTCGGCATGACAGACTATTTTCGGCAACCCAAATTGAAACACTTTTTGCACTGGATTTTCTTACGAAAACACTTCGCTGAATGCATACAAACGATTCTTTATGCTTTCAGCTTCAATTTGACTATATTTTTACCACTGATAAAAAGCAAACTATCAGGGTTTTCTTGAAATGAAACACACGCACTACAAATTGTAGCTGATTTCGAGTTGCCGATAATAGAACAGCAGATTTACATGCAGTTCAAATGGAACGGTTGCCGAAGAAAAACTGGTTGCCGACAATACTCGCTCTCACTAGAGAAGATTGGAGCTTTGTAAAAGCGTTTCAAAATAGTTTTTGACAATTCTTTCGACTGAAATTGTTAGAGCAGCTGGCAGCAAAAGATTGTACACAAACCAATACTGCATATTTGTGCGTTCCATAGAGAAAAAGGCTATAGAAAGAAGGTCGCTGCTTAGGTTGCCGAGAATACGTAAATTCCCATATTTGTTCTGTTGTTGATTTTTTGGTGTTTTTGATATTTCAAAGCAGTTTGAGATTTTTGCTTTGATTTGTTTTCCGTCGATCTTGTTTTCCGTGCTGAGCACGACTGCTACCGACGCCAGGGAGGCAGCTCGCACACCTAGACCCTACCTATCGACCCATCAACTCACGCATAGATTGGGTACCAACGGGTTTACTTTCCTTCCGAAGGAAGACGTGATCAGATATGTTGTGCCTCAGAACATTCCGGCGGCGCCGACTGGGATTGAACCCAGGCCTGCTGGGGAAAGAGGCAATCACGCTTACCACTACACCACCGGCGCCGCTAATTTGAGAAATGATAATGATAAGATATGGACAAAACGTTTCTTGAGCAAAGTAGCTTGAAATCATCTCAGCTACAAGTTTGCTGAAGAATGCGACTTATTTTTCAAAAATAAAATAGTTAGTTTATTTGTATCAATAATTTGAGAACCACCCTAACTTTAAAAACTTCCACAAGAAGTAACTTTTAAAACTGAAAAATATCACTAAGCTTCTAAATCTTAAGGCAATAGCATCCCATCCTGGAGCACTGCACTGTGGTCCAAAACAGCAATTTATCTCTGTTTGGAAAGTTATCATTTGAAAGTAATGGGTAATTTAAACCCAAAAAAACACAGTCTTAAAATGTGTATATCTCAAGTAGCGGGGTGACCCCAGCGTAAAGGATTACATCCATACCTCTCACGTCAAAAATCAAGAGTCTTAAGTGAATTCCGAGAGAATTCTGAGAAGAATGTCAAGGGAACCGAATTTTAAATGGTACGATTTCAATGAAATTCTGAGAAAGCTTTTAAGGAAATTCTTAAGATAATTTTAAGGGCATTTGGAGAAGAATATAGATAACTCTTAGCTAAATTTCAATGCACCTTAGAGAACTCCATAAAAGTTAAAATTATTTATTCAACTAAATCACTGATGAAAATTAGAACTAAATGTAATGCGAATTCCATGATGTTTTAAACAAGCAGGTGTGTTCCAAAATCATATTTCGACATTATGGAAACCTTATTTTCAACAGTTATTTTCAAACGAATAATTTAAGGTGTAAGTTGATAGAATCCACACATGGCCGCTATTTTGGCCACTGTTTTCATGCACCACTGGATGTGCATGAGTAGAAAAAAAATAGTAAAATTAATTAAAAACTCAATGTTAATAATTACAACTTTCCGTTGCACAGCTTATTATTAAGAATGTGGGAACCTCTAAATAGCAGTTTTACATAAATCAATCAATCGTTTGTTCATTACTCTTGCTGTTCATAAGCTTCATGCTTCCTATTTCTCCAAGCAAACAACAGAAAACCATCAATACCATCACTCATTCCAATACAATCCCATAATCCAATTATTCCAACTTCCATAAAGTACCAATAATCATCCCCCGTCGCATCCATATTTCAACGGCGAATGCCACCCAGATTCCATCGATTCCCCTTTCGGAAGATTTTGCGTACATGGCATCCAGCAAAGGGGTCATACACACATCCGAGGGTGGTCGTTATTCATCCGAATCGTTCAACGGAGAGCACATAAGCGAGTCACGGGGGGGGGAGGTAAATCGCGAAAGAACCATAATTGGATCGTTGACTCACATGCGAGAAGAAGATTCTTCTCTATAAGTACCTCTACCTCTGCTTACCTTCTTCGGGAGAATGCAGCGACTTCCATTCAAAGAAAAAAAACGATTACATGGCACGCGACAATTTATGACCGCTCCTGGGTAGGACCAGAATGGCGCTGCCAAGCGGGTGGCAATAAATATCAAAATCGGAAATAAATAATATCGTTGTCTTAGCGAATATGGCACTCTGTGCCCAATAAAACCCAACGGAAGACTACCGACGGTATACCTATTGCTAAGCTTCAACGGAGCCAGGCAACAAAGTGTTGCATGGGATGGGATAAAAATCAGAAATTGAAAAATGTCTCGCCGCTGTAAAAACGCTGCAGGCCAATTTATTCTCGGAGATGCTTAATGAGCCACAACGGATGAAATACGGTTGACGGCAGAGCAAACATTGTAGCAAGATATGTGGGTGTGTTCGATTCCGAGCTAAGCAAACGAAAAAACGCTTTCAATTTCCGGCAACCGCGTCAAAATCTCTCCATCACATCATCTTGTTTACCGTCAACAGGCCCCGTCAACAGTTGCCATCAGGAAAGGTTTGTCCGGAAAAGCAAAATACGACATGAGAGATGGGAGTTCAAAAAGATATTCCGTCTGTCGAAAGCAAATGTACCAGCTTTCAAAAACCCGGAAACAGGGATAGAGGGAAATGTAATTTTACTTACCTGCAAGCAGGAGAAACGACAAGCGGAGAAAAAAAAATGAGTTGGGTAAATTTGGTCATTAGTGATATTTTTATTCAGGACAGTCGAGTTTCCCTTGAAAGACATGGAGGTTACTTCTGCAGGATGGCTAATTGTGCTTCTAGAAGGATCCGTACGGGCTGTATTGGCGGGCGATACACTCACAGAGGCTTACTGGTCGGCAGGGGCCACACGGTGCACAAGGACCGCAAGGTCCGCATGGTTCGCATGGTCCGCATGGTCCACAAGGGCCACATGGCCCGCAAGGTCCACATGGCCCGCAAGGTCCACATGGCCCGCAAGGTCCACATGGTCCGCATGGACTGCAAGGTCCAAAAGGTCGACGTGGCTCGCATGGACCACAAGGTTCACAAGGGCCACAAGGGCCACAAGGTCCGCAAGTTCCATATGGTCCACAAGGTTCGCAAGGTCCACAAGGTTCGCAAGGTCCACAAGGTTCGCAAGCTCCACAAGGACTACAGGTTGGATAAACTGATGGTCCACAAATGGAGTCGCATGGTACGTTGCATGGATCACACATTCTGAAATTTCTCTCTTCAAAAGCCTAACGGAACGAAAAATCTATCATTAATATTACCTCGAGTGTCCTGAAGCGAACAATCTTACCGAAGCTGATAAATCCTCAAAGACTTCAATTTTTTCTTCAACTAGAAATTTTGCGTCCTCTCCCAAAGGTGTTTGAAAATCAATTGAAACAAATTAACCGTAGAAAAAACCAAGCCTTACTTTGATTATAACTACAAAGAAGCTGGTTGCTTTGTCCTTAAAAAAATCAATTCGCATAGTAAAGCATGTCAACCCAATTTAGATCCATATCACCATTCTTCTATCAATTCGCGATCGTAAAACCGTAAAACTCTAACTCAGACTTTCTCACCATCCAATACTCCCTCACGTGAAGTTCAAACCCACCTCTGTGCCTTTTCCAACCTAAGGAAAGGAACCCCCTGTGGTCCGGCAAATCTATTCAACACGAATCCCAGTGCCAATCCATGACAATGACATTGATTCTAGTGAGTGGCGGTGGAGGTACCCTGCTTCTACAAACTACGGGGCAGCAGCTGTTGCACTGCTGCCGGTCTTCTAGTGTTTGCTCTGCTGCTCTACTATACCGGCAATAATGCATGTAGCTTTGCTCTTTTCACCAACCAAGTTCAGGCACCGCAAAGACAAACTACGGGTACACGAGGCTTGAGTTCGTCGTCGTCGTCGTCGTCGTCGAGAGGGTCTTTTCTACAAACAAGCAAAATCCTGTTTGCCGACCCGCCGTCTACCAGCGGACAAGTCAACAGCACTGCACGCTTGCGAGGGCAATCACATGTTGGTAGGGTGCTCCAATTATGCACTCAAACATTTGATTTCGCTTTCTTCGACTGGTGGGTATTTAGTTTGTTCAGATCGCAAATCCACAACTAGTCCCACGACGACGGGGGATTATGCCTTCTTTTTTTTTTGCGCCGAATTCAAGAGCAATGACGACGACCGAGCTGCTTACGGTAAACACTAGAGAGGCGGACGACCGACGAGAATGGCAATGTCAATGTTTGGATAAAATTTATTATTTTTAATGCAAGGAATTCGCTCGCTGTGGTGGCAGAGGCCAGAAAAATATAAGTGAGGAAACTACATTGTTGGTTGGCGAAATTGTGAAGCGTGTGGCGGATGGGCAAATATTTGGCGGAAGAGATAATCGGTGTTTGGATTGAATTAAATTGATTTGTTGTGGATTCCATTTCAGGCTGAGGTGTTTGGAAAATGTATGGTTTCATCTAGTTTTTCTATGAAGGTTGAAAAGTCTCTTAGATTGAGCGAGTTCACGATATTTCCGAGGATATAGAAATGAGGGCCAGTTCCTAGATCTTAGAGATCAAAATCGGTCCTTTGGACACTTCTCTTAGAACTGAATTATTTAGCCCCAGAGTCTTGTGCAACTGACATCAAAGTATTATGCACATGACTTGCTAGTAGAAGCTCTATCGATTTGTTTATAGTTTTTTTTTTTAGGAATTTTGGCATAAATTTGTTTTACATTTTCATCAATTTTCATGTGTTCAATGTTTTCAAAATTACAAAGTTTATATTTTCCATACTCATTTTTTATAATTCAAAAATATTGAACGAAGACATTTTTTGTTATTTAATTTTTAAACTTTTTTCTCAAAGTTACAATAAGTTAATACTAGAAAAGGTCTAGTATAAGAGAGGAGCGGATTCAGAACAAACTACCCAAGTAGCAATTCAGTAACCATTTAGCATCCACTCTGATTTATGATGGTTTTATAACGGCAATGAACAATCCACTTAGTTTAAATATAGCATTATAAAGTGTAAAACATTCCTGCTTAGTAATTCAGCTTTTTGCTGTTTTAAAAACCTTTTATAGTCTGGCAAGAAAGTCAAAAACTGTCTTGTTTTAAAAATAATTTTAAAACAGTTATCAATCCCTCCTTAAAACTGTTCTATAATTCAAGCATAAACGTCATTAGCAATTGTTTATTAATTTCATAATAAAATACTTTATAAACGTGTTCTATCATTATAAAAGCAACCATAAAACTATTAGGTTTTGCATTAGAGAAAAAAGCATTTATTGTTGCTTTTTAGCCTTTTTAAAAGCATCATTAACTCCCCAATTACTTTGTTTACAAATTGAGCTTAAAAGATGGTTCCTCATAGTTACTAAATGCCAAATCTATGACAAGGAAATCTCGAAGGATAGACGAAGTAGGATGAAAAAATCAAGTCGATTTCAGATAAATTTACTTCTTTAGAAGAACCATCACACCACCAACGACTGGCCATCTGTCGGAGAAGAGTAAAGTGAGCGGGGCCCTCGAACTCATGAAACATTGTCTAAAGTTGAAAAAATTACCAGCCTTCTCCAGATCTTGCGATGACAATCGAAATAACAACCGACAGCAAACCACTGAAACTGTTAGTTAGCGGAGATCAGCTGGTTTCCGATCCAAAGCAGCGATTTTATTCGGCGAAAGACTCTTCGAAAATTTCATTCAACCGTACATCTCTGCATCATTGGATCGTGCACTTCTGTAACCATCCGGAAGAAGGGGATCTTTTTCGGGAACGATTGCGCTTCCAGCTGTTCGAAATGCGAAATGTTGTAAAACAGTATCGCAAACTATCTGAGTAACTGCTCACAATCCATCGGGAGAAAACCGCCTGGAAGAATCCTGGATCTCACAGCGCAACTATCGAAAGATAAACAAACTTTGACGTTTAACTTTCTGCAGGCAACTTTGCCTCCATAAATGTTGCCATTAATCTGAATGGTTTAGGATCAAGCAAAATGGCTTTAGATAAATACAATTCAGCCTGCAAGTTTTCTTTATAAAAGCCATTTTAAAACCTTATTAATTTGTTAAGGAATTCTTGAAAGCAAAACAACTTTTTCACAAATGACCCATGAAAATCAACTTTTATGCCACCGCCATGTTACAATTAGTTGGCTTATTTTTTTACAATCTTCGATTTTCAATCTATGTTGCCTTGGATATAACTATATTTTGGTAAATTTAGCAATGAGCAAACATTTAAATGCGAAAATCATTTAAAAAAAATGTCGGCCAAGCTCGATCTGAAGAATATATTTGTTTTTTTCAATATTAAATAATTGGTCAAATCGACGTTTTACGAGGGTGGACTTAATTTGTTCGATGTTTTCACGTACATTTCACATAAAATTGAATATGGCACTTAAAACTAGGTCACTTAATGAGAACTATTGTAATAAGTTTGGATATTCAACAATATTTTTATACCATCAGTTTCTATTTTAATTATTTTGATAAGATCGGATTCATAAATCCTTTTCTATCTTGATTGATGCTTTCCTAGTGGATTCAGCATGCGGCTAGGGGAAATGGCTCGAAAAGGGTTTTTATTGTTACTAAATAGCTTTTATTGTAGCTTTCAAATGGTTCTGAATGCGTTCGTCATACAACCTTTTGCAGTAAATCAATCTTGACGAGTTTCGAGAATACACCCTTCAGAACCTTCTCCAGGGTGGGCCAACTAGACATATTCTAGTCTTAATGAGGTTTTGGTGGATGCATTAATGACAAAATAGCCTTGACCAGGGTTTTATGAATGTTGTTTTATAGTTGCTTTGTAGTATTTCATAAAACTTAAAATGTTACTTGGGTAGCTTGGCAACCTATGCCTATATGATTTCTAGCACCACTGCAATCAATGTAGGCGCTGCTCGATTCAGCGTTGCCAGATTGTTTTAAAGCTTATCGGTATCGAAGCTATTAAAAAATCGGTATTTATCGGTATTAACTATTTAATTCATTTTATAAATTTGAAAGCAAAATTTTTAACAATGGTGAAAACTGGGGCTTGAGGGGAATTGCCTAGGGAATTGCTTTGTTTAACGGCTTTCTCAGTCTTATTTTTTTTTTCCTTTGGTTTGTTTTCCGTCGATCTTGTTTTCCGTGCTGAGCAACAATGCTACCGACGTGCCAGGTAGGCAGCTCCCACACCTGGACCCTACCTATCGACCCATCAACTCATGAACCGGGGACCAACGGCTTTACTACCCATCCGAAGGAAGGCGTGATCAGAGATGTTATGCCTCAGAACATCCCGGCGGCGCCGACTGGGATTGAACCCAGGCATGCTGGGGTGAGAGGTAATCACGCTTACCACTACACCACAGGCGCCGCTTCCTCAGTCTTAAAAAACTATAAAAAATTAATTTAATTTTTAAAATTATCGTTGTGATCGAAATTGTGACCAAGTAAAGGGCGAACACGAAATTATTGGGACACCGAAAATGTCATGCCAATTTTCTTATAATGTTTAGAATCAAACCAAAATTTTAGGGTAGTTTTATACATATATTTACTTCAAAAATCAAAAGAAAAGTTAATCGATGGAGCCTTGAGTGTAAAATTGAACGCATTTTCGCTTGATGCCCTCCATCAAAGTCTTTACAGTGTCATCCAGTACCAGTTTCTCAGTTTTTTTTCCATTTTCTTAACATGTCCTTCTCGTCTTTGACTGTCTTCTTGCTCTTCCGAAGTTCTCGCTTCATTATTGCCCAGTACTGCTCCACCGGGCGCAGCTCCGGACACTTTGGCGGATTCATGTCCTTTGGAACAAAATGGACAGAATTGGCCTCATACCACTCCAGGACACTTTTAGAATAGTGGCATGATGCCAAATCTGGCCAAAATAGCGGAGCTTCGTCGTGCTGCTGCAAGAACGGCAAAAGGCGCTTCTCGAGGCACTCAGATTTGTAGATCTCGCCATTTACTGTGCCCTTTGTCACGAAAGGCTCACTCCTCAGTCCGCAAGAGCAGATGGCCTGCCAAATGAGATATTTGGAGTCGAACTTCGACATTTTCTTCTTCTTAAATTTGTCGTCCACATCGAACTTGCTCTTGCCGGTGAAAAACTCCAACCCCGGAATTTGCTTAAAATCGGCATTTATATACGTTTCGTCGTCCATCACACAGCAGCCATATTTGGCTAGCCGTCGGTCAGCCGAGTTTTAGC